AGGTACCTTAAAATGTTTAGTCTCCTGTGGAGTTGGCTCTCTATTTCCAGAGGTCTTTTAGTTCCTGGGATTTCAACTTGAAGAAAAATGTCTGTACTAGCTTCCACTATTATTGAGTTAGGACTTGGATTCTATCCACTCTGCATAAGAGCCTTGGTTTAGTGGAGGATCCTTGGCTACTGTTTCCTAAACAGACTTGTGCTGAGAATTTCTGATGTGCTGTGTCCCTAGGTCCAGGCTCCTTGGCAACAGTAAGAAGAAAACAGCAATTTCTTTTGTTAAATCTGCTCTAGGAGAGAGCTTGTCTCATTAGGAGCAGAGGGATACACAGGCAGAAGGCATGCTGTTGCTTTCATATGCAGAATCACAAAAAATCAAGGACCTTTTCTCATATCTGTCTTCATATTGCTGCCGTGAAGTCCATTCATTTCAATGTTTTTAATTTTTTTATTTCTATATTTTTATAGCGGTTACAGGCAGGACATTGCCCTAAACTTAAAATGCCTTTTATATTGTACTACATACAATACTAGAGAAAGCAATGACAGTAATGATAGTAAATCACATTAAGCCTTTACATGAGTAAATGTTTGCATGCTATACAAAATATCACACTTGTCTCTTTAGTCTTTCTTATTGAAGGTATGAAAGAAATTATTATCTTCCTTTAATAAATGATAACATTGAGTACTCACAAGTTAAATGACTTGCAAGCATATGTTCTCATTCTAACCCTGTGTTAACCTTTTCATTATTGGTGTAATTATCAGTTGAATATAAAAAAAATACAAGATTTACCCAAGAGCATACTGAGTTAAAAGTAAGATAAATACATTCAATTTATATTAATTTATTACTCAAGGAAGTTTCGTGCTCTTAATTTTTAATTTGTTCATTATTCAAAGCTGTAAGAACACTGAAAACTAAGTCTTTAATATATTATTTCTACCAAAATGGAAAAAAACCTTAATTGGCATTGCCAAAAACTATGTAATTAAATAATAACTATGACTAGTGTACTTATTAAATTAGTTCAAAATAATATAAAAACCTCTTTAATTAGGGTGATTATACAGTTTAATATATGAGATATACAATTTAGTATAACTCATTATTGATAATGGTTCTGTAGACGGGGGAAATCTTTCAAGTAAAATGTAGCAAGATGCCAGATATGGGGGTACACACCTGGAATCAAAACAATTGGGAAGATGAGTCAGGAGGATAATGAATTTGAAGCCAGTCAGGGTAAACAGCAAGACACTATCCCCCCTCCCAAATTAAAAACCACAAACCTCAAACAACAGCAAAATAAATGTAACAAAGTAAAGCAAACATCCTCCAAATTATGTTATACTTGACTTGATAATGTAAGTTTTAAAAATATTTTTTAAAAAAGCAATTCCAAAACTAAAAATGTGAATTCAATTTTCCATAAGAATATTACTTATAATGCTAAAAGACTATAATATACCTAATACCTTCTGATTGACAAATGGTTTTAAAATGAACTAAGTAAACATAATATAAATCTAATAGATAAAAAGTTAAAAGTCAGGGATTATTAAAAATCAAAAACTATAGGCATATTCATATTAGTTTAGCAGATGCAGAACAGAAAATATATATGTAAGGAGAATTAAAATGCCATATTGAATTAATTAGGCTAACTACTATCACTTATTCACAAAGATTAAGAATTTAAAAAATGTGTTAATAACTAGGAATTTATTAATCATGAAAAGGAATCTGTGTTCAACTCTGCATTTTATCTAAAAAGCATGTAAATACTTAATTTAAATATGATCTTAAATTTGTCAGTAGCCAATTTAGGAAGAAACAAATTTAATTTTATTAGCCTGGCTGATTCTGTGATGGAGAGTATCGAATATAGCTGATCCTTACACAAAACCAAATAAACCACTATGCTTATTCTACCAATGAGATACAAAAAAGAGAATAAAAAATAAGGGTATATCAGTTATTGCTAAGAGACTAAGGTTTCTTTGCTTTGCATAGGACATCTTTTAGACATTGCTCTTCAAGTAATAATTATCTTAGTAAGAGTAGTTGAGTGAATCATAGAGGCAATGGTTCTTGTTCTAGGGCCTTTGGTTTTGAGAAAGACATATATAGTTCTGTGGTTGTCCCTAACACAAAGCCTTGTTTTCTTTTATTCTCCTTGTTTCCCCATCTTTTTACACAGCACTTGTGTAACTTACTGGATTAGGAAATTTTAGAAGAAACTGGAGTGCTAACACCATCTGAAACCATGTGTTGAACTCTGGAACTGAGATTGAGCAAGGGTCTTTGAGCAAGCATAATTTAGTTTTGATAAAAATTAAATGACATTTTAGAGTTGTCATGGATAGAATTCATGAAAGAAAAAAATCTCGATTAAATGCTCTTAGGAAGACAAGTAAAAAAAAAAAGATGGTTAAGAACTTCTGTCATTGAATTTAACAAGTGACTACATAGTTAATAGATAGTTTCCCAGGCTACAAGCGTACAGGCACACATGACCAAGTCAAAGGGGTTGGCATGCTGAAAGAATCAGAGGTTCATGCTTGCAATGGAGATTGAGATCTAAGCTGACACACTGTACAAATCCATGTCTAGGGTCATATTTTCCTAGTTTTATTACACATCAGGAAGACAAGCAAAGCATTAAAAATGGCAGAGGGGAATAACTGAGAGATAAAACAACTGCCTGAAAGCCCAGCAAACCTCATTATAGATACAATGCTCAGAATAGTAAATAAATGCACACATCTATTAAAACGAATCTCAGGTTAACACTCATTTCATTGCTTCATCTTGAGGAATCTTTGGGGAAAATGCTACAGTCTCCCTCACTATATAGTTGGGGAAATAGCTCACAATTTCCCAAAGAAACAAAAACATTAAGTGATGGAACCCAATGCAAATCCATGTTCTCAGTGTACTATTACATTGTTTCTGATCAGTGTCTTCAAGATTTCTGGTTCACAAGGGATAAAAAGAATAGCCGAAGAAAGCTGTGAGCAGAGTACCATTAAAGTAGCTATTGAAAAAAATGTAATCATGTAGTGTCATGTAGTGTCACTGTGGACTCTGCTAATGTCACTGTTAGAACTCAGGACAGGAAATAATTATAAAGACCGTCCTACCCAAGTCACGGTGAATATTTAAAGAGGAGGGAGGTACTATAGAACACATTTATTTTTCTTTTCAAGGATATTTTCAAGATTGTTTTTGAAACATTTTATGACTTAAGCGTGGCAAGCTTTTGCTTACTAGACATTTTTTCCTTCTAGATCAACTAGACATTATTGCATTAATCTTTTTATTTTAAACAAATTAAACATGCAGAATTTGCACAAGGTAAAGGATCCGAAGTGTGAAAAGGTGAATAAAGCCCTGGCTATGATACTTAGGACAGAGCATAAGAAGATGATTTTCTCAATACTCCTGTATTCTCACTTCTAAAAATAAAAGCTGTGCAAATCTTAAGATTTTTTAATCTTAAGAATTCTTTTCCGGCTCTAGTAGTTATGCATTACATGTGTCCCAGTTGCCTTTGGGAGGGAAGTAAAATAAAATTGAACTGAAGAACTGCAAGCAATATTGCATCCTTAATTGCATCTTAATCTTGAAGAAATTATTTTGTGTATGTGAGTGTGTGCATGTATATGCAGGCCAGCCCAGGGGTTTGAACTCAGAGCCCAGGCACTATCCCTGTGCTTTTGTACTCAAGGCTAGCACTCTACAACTGAGTCACAGCTCCACTTCCAGTTTTTCTGGTGGTTAGTTGGAGACAAAAGTCTCAAGACTTTCCTGCCTGGGCTGCCTTTGAAATAGGATACTCAATCTCAGCCTCTTAAGTGGCTGGGATTATAGGTGTGAGCCACTGGGGCCTGGCTAACTTTGAATAACTTTTATGTTGGCATACGTCGGCACGGCAGTCAAAGTATGATTGTTTTGTGGATCTGAAAAAAAAGAAGTATTACTTTTCCTGCAAATACATGTCAAATGGATCATGCAGATAGAAAGCAAATGTACCTTATTAGATTCTTTGAAAAGTTTGTTTATTCATTAAACCACTCTAGCAGAAGATATTATAGTGGATTAAGTAGCTCTAAAAAAAAAGTGAAGATGATGTGACAGTATATTTAGTTATACTCCTGTTTTACTTAAATATAGTTGTGTTCTTTCTAAAAAAAGAAAATAATTATTAGCTCAGTCCGCAGTGCTACTCATTCAGCTTAAGGTGCTCTATAAAGAGTTTCTCTGCAACACTGAAAGCCTGCTGAATACAGTGGTTAAGAATCTTTTGGACTAGATAAGAAGTCCAGAAGTGCGGAATGCCTATAATCCTAGCTACTCCTGAGCTGAGGATCTGAGGATCTGAGGATCTCGGTTGGAAGCCAACCTGAGCAGGAAAGTCCTTGCTTCTCTTATCTCCAATAAACTACTCAGAAAAAACTGTAAGCAGTACTGTGGCTCAAGTGGTAGAGCACTAGGCTTGAACACAAAGAAACTCAGAGACAGCATCCAAGCCCATAGGTCAATCCCCAGGACTGGCAAAAAAAAAAAAAAAAGAATCTAGAAGTTTGGAAGAGCACTGACAATTCCAGAAATCTGTGAAGTTGCTCCTAATATGACTGGAATTTCAAGTTCAGGGGGAGATTTAATAATAAGATGTGTGACTTTGGAACTTGGGAAGGCTCCTGAGATTCCAGGAGAAATATGCTAGCTTGTACATGTAAGCTTGAGAACCACAGGCTCTTGAGCCTACCAGCAGACCACTAATTGAACCGCAGCCCCATCCCAATGCACTCTTTTGACCACATATAAATGGAGAATATAGGGGAAGAACAAATGGTATGTCAATTTACACATGTGCACATATTTTAAACTCTAGTGAGGAATTACAACATGATGGCTGCATTCTATCAGTAGTGCTTAGCATTTGGCCATGGAAGACAAAGCAGGTAAGGACCAAAAGTGGAAGAACTTACAATGTAGCAGGGCTCGCAGTAGGCTTTCTTCTCCACCGCATAGAAGGGCTGCCCTCGGAGCTTGTTGCTGCAGATGATGCAAGTGAAACAGTCCACATGGAAGACCTGATCCATGGCAGTGCATCCTGTACCTTCCCCAACCACATTTTCCCCACAGCGAGCACAGCGGCCTGCAAGAAAAAGGAGTTTGCTACAAACAATGCACTTCTTGGATCTTTTTCTTTTCCTTTCCTTTCCTTCTTTTCTTTCCCTTTCCCTTTCCCATTCCCTTTTCCTTTCCCTTCCCTTCCCTTCTTTTCTCCCCTTCCCTTCCTTCCTTTCCCTTCCCTTCCCTTCTCTCCTGTCCCTTCCCTTTCCTTCTCTCCTCTCCCTTCCCTTCCCCTCCCTTTCCTTCCTTTCTTTGTTTTGTTCTTCCTTTCCTTTCTCTATCACCAGCACTGAGTCTTAAACTCAGTGCCCTTAACCTTTTTGCCCAAGGCTGGTGCTCTACTACTTGAGCCACACATCCAATTTTGACTCTTTTCGGATTAATTGTAGATATGAGTCTCATAGATTTTCTTTCCTGGGCTAGCTTCAAACCATGATTTTCATATTTCAGCCTCCTGAGTAGCTAGGATTACAGGTGTAAGCCATCAGATTCTGGCTTACTCTTGGATCTTTCTAAAGAAGCCAATGTCAGGAAATTAGTGTTGGGGCTGGGAAGGTGGCTCAGTGGTAGAGTGCTTGCCTTGCGTGCATGAGGCTCTGGGTTTGATTCCTCAGCACCACATAAGCAGAAAAAGCTGGAAGTGGTGCTGTGGCTCAAGTGGTAGAGCGCTTGCCTTGAGCTGAAGAGCTGAGGGACAGCACCCAGGCCCAGAGTTCAGGTCCCACAACCACCACCACCAACAACAAAAAGTAGTGTTAAGCTTCTATATTACAAGTTTAAGAGGAATATAATTCAAAATGCTGGGAATGAAAGTCACAATCTACAGAATAATCCAAGAAAGTCTTTTTCCGTGGAGAGTCTAGGCCTCCAGTAAGAATGTGAAGTATGTGGGTATGAACTCAAACTCCAATTCTTCTCACAAAAGCTTTGGTTGTCAAACCTCTGCAGTCAGCCCTGTGACCGGGAGATCACACAGTAGTCAGTCTCTTATTTTCAGAGAACTCTGACTGCTGAAAAATAATCTCTTCCATGAGACCCAGGATATACCATCTTTATTCTAATAGCTACCTGTTACTTACAGTTCTGTCTTCTAGGGCTCATGAAAAAATTCTCTTATTTTGGACTTGATGCCTTCTAGTATACTAACAATTCAGTTAGTGCTGCTTCTCATTCTGTTCTTTAGTTCGAGTATCCTTAGATCTTGCAATGGTTTCTCAAACTGTGATGCTAATAGCACTCCTGACCTGACACTGGTTGTCACTATCTACCTAGTATTCTGCAAAACTAGAGCATTCTTAAATCTACCAATGGGGAATCTGATGTGGATATGGACATCAAATTAGGCAAAATAAATAAACATATTAAGTTTTACATACTAATAGTAAATACAGTACTTGCCAGCATACCCAAGAAGCTATAATTCCCAGCACCACCACCACCAACAACAACAAAAAGAAAAACACACAAAAAAAACAAAGGAGAAAATCAAAACCAAAAAACCATATTAAGACACATACATCAGTGAGAGTCACTATACTACCTGTGATCTGTATCTTTATCTGGTTTTTCTTTCTTTCTTTCTTTTCTTTTCTCTCTCTTTCTTCCTTTCTTCTCCTTCCTTCCTTCCTCCTTTCTTTCTTTCTTTCGTTCTGTCTTTCTTTCTTTCTTTCCTTCTCTTTCTTTCTTTTTGTTTGTTTGCTTGGGCACTCTACCTAAGCTCTTGTGCTCAAAACTAGCACTCTATCACTTTGAGCCACAGCCCCACTTCTGGTTTTCTGGTGGTTAATTGAAGATAAGAGTCTCACAACCTTTCTTGCCTGGGCTGGCTTTGAACAGCAATCCTCAGATTTCAGTCTCACCAGTAGCTAGGATTATAGGTGTGAGCCACTGGCATCTGGCTTTATCATGGAATTCTTGAGCTAGCAGCCAGGTTATGTCTAGATTTCCTCTTTATTATTTGTTTTGACTAACTAAAAGAAATAATAGGTAAATATGAGACCATTGAATATATCAGGAAGTAATTGCAAGCTTTTGCATATAAATTATAGCAAACCTAGTGTTTCATAGATGTCAGACATTTTTTTAACCTGGACTTCTCTAATTTCAAATATACCACAACTTATAGTTAGATAGGAAACTGAGTCACAAAAATGGTTAACCTTAAGCCCAAGCAGTCTAGCTTCAGTGTCTGTATTCCTAACCATTTTGCACAGTTGCCTTTTCTGGTGTGGGTACATCAAGATCTGCTATTCTGGAGCACTGTGGACTGACTTTTCACAGGGGGTACTTTCAGCACCCAATCACACTGGATTGACAACCACTTCACACACAGAACTGGGAGGACTAAATATTTCAACTTAGGAGAAAAGAGTGAATATATTTCTAATTCTCTCTGGGCTGCACTTTTCTGTGGGAAGTATTCCTTTATATTCTGTTGCAGGATTAGAATGTGTCTTTTAAATAAGACTCAAATTATCCAATCATTTAATATTGTGTGTGTGTGTGTGTGTGTGGTGTTGTTGTTGTTTGCTGCTGCTTGAACTTAGGTCCTTGGCTATCTTACTTATTTTTTGTTTGCTCAAGACTAGGGGACTCTCCTTCTTGAGCTATAACTCTACTTCTGGCTTTTTGCTGGTTAATTACAGAGAGGGACTTTTGAATTTGTCAGCCCAGGCTGGCCCTGAACTTTGAGCCTCAAGTCTTAGCCTCTTGAATAGTTAGGGTTAGAGGTGTGACCCACCAGTACCCTGCTCAATAGTTAATATTAAATATCATATTCTTGACACTTGATATTTTGTATAGTATTTGCAAAAGACTTGGTAGCTGGTTTTTAAAAAGTTCTAACCTAAAGATATTATACCTATTTTTATTATTAGACATATAATTGAGAAGACTTTAAAATTCTTCTACTTTTGTTTTTTTTTTTGGGGGGGGTCTGGTTGTGGGGCCTGAACTCTGGGCCTGGGCGCTGTCCCTCAGCTCTTCAGCTCAAGGCTAGCGCTCAACCACTTGAGCCACAATGTCACTTCCGGCTTTTTTTCTTTTTGCTTATGTGGTGCTGAGGAATCGAACCCAGGGCCTCAAGCATGCAAGGTAAGCGCTCTACCACTGTGCTACCTTCCCAGCCCCTACTTTTGTTTCTTATTACATATGTTATTGTGATTATTATAAAAACAAAACTCAAAATCTTTACTGCTTTACAAGAAAGTTAGCTATGCTATGCTTACAAATAATGCTAAAATTCTGAGCATTTCATGTCATCAATGAACAACATCTCATTAGGAAAACATAGGACATTAACATAAAGGGACCCTTAATTTATGTGAATGCTAATAAGAACATATTAGTTTCTGTTTGAAATGGTAACTTTAAAAATAGTATAGCTGTTAAATCAAAGTTAATGAAATTATTTTTCTCTATTACTCTTTTCCTTTTCCTAAAAGGCAAAAAGGATCACTTGACAACACATCAGCCCCTTACCAGGAATCTGTGGATCACACATTGAAAACAAATAATTCTGGATGAGTAGAGAATAGACTATTGATCATAGTGGTCTCTTCGGTAGCTATAGGTGGCATTTAAAAAAATCTAGATCACAAATGCTCAAAGTAAAATATGTAGTGTCCAAGAGCTGGAGCGTATTTGGTTTATGAATAGTTGGATACCTATGTATGTGCATCTACGAGGAAACTTTTATCAGTGATGTAAGGGTAAAGATCATGTTGGAGAGATAATCTTTGAATTTTCAGTGTACTCAACACAGCCCAGCATCTACTCTGAGCATTGCTACAGTTTGCTCCTGGGTAACATTACAAATGGATTAAGCATCATGGGCACCTTTTATAACTCTGAGACTACATACCTCCAACAATCACATGAAGAAATGTATGGCACAACACAGTTATGGAAATATGCAAGGAAAATCACCTCTGAGAGGGTTGGGTAAAGGTTTTATGGAGAAATAAACATTCGATTTTGACATTTTTTTAATGGGATTAGACAGGTGGGGATGGAAGAGAGAGAAAAACAACAAGAAAAAAAAACACCTCTAGGTTTTCCAAAGAAGGAATGAGTGTTTGTGGTTTGCCAGATTCAAAAATACTGCGGTACCTGGGGATGAGACAATTGAGTTTTGTCTTCTCAGTTTATGAAAGCAGATGGACTGTATTCATAAAAACAACTTTCTTCTTAATGCTGGAAGAATATTCTCTCAGAGTAGGTCAGGCTAAAGTGTTGAACCCAAACGTGACCAGCTCTGCCTTCTGTACTTTTCCTATTCTTGAGATAAATTGGGGACACTGGCCTCAAGGGCAGTCAGTCTGGCACCTTAAAAATTCACAAGCTTAGAAAAAAAGAGCGAAGAACTGAAATTAAAAATAGCTCTACCCATCAGCAACACAAAAAGGTGCCCAAATGTTCCCTTTTCACATTAACAAAAATATACAAACTAAGCCTTTTAGAGAAGCATTTGAACTGCAAAGAAAGCTTTTCAAGCACACAGAGAATCCCTGCCTCTAGAGGGACTTGCACTACACTTTATTAAAAGCACACTACAAACTTAATGCCCATCTCTTAGACAAGTGTCTCGGCAGTTTAAACAAGAAAAGCCAGAGGAATGGTGCCAAGCTTCAAGGCATCAGAGCATGAAGGAAACACAGTTGATCTGAGGGCAGTTAGAAGCCAGAGCTCTGTTGCAGGGCTGGTGTGAAGAATGTCTTCGTGGTGCTCAGCACAACAAATTAAAAGAACCAAGAACAGTGGCCCAGAGAGCCTGCCAATTTTGTCTGTGAATGAAGTTTCATAAAACATCCACATCTAAATCTTGCTTATCCATTAGTACATGTTTTTATACAGCTTTACATTGTCTGTGGTGCCACCCGTGGATTCTTCCCACCCTTCTTCTGTTTCCTACCTTCAGTAATCTTGCCAGTATTTCTGAAGCACTGGCTTTCTATCATCATGCTTAGCAGTAAATCAGGTTTCTCTATTCCTGGGCCTTTGTAATAGCTTCCTCATTGCTCA